TTATCTATGATAGAGGGGCTGTGATGAAGACTATACCTGTGGGCCTTTCATGTTTGTCCTTCCTCGCACCCTACTATTAAAAACTCAATAATAGTTCTGCTGAACAAGCAGACAACTATTTTTATCTCTGATTAGTGATAAATTACAACTTTATGAACTGCCACATAACTGCATTCAGCATTACGGGAACAGCCCATTAAAAGAGTGTAACCTCACTTCCTCACTTGGTTATCAGTTTATGATCAGGACATTAGTCTTATTTAATTAGTTATAAAGATTGTTAGGCACGGTTCTAGAAGCCGTATCTACACACAAATTGGTGACGTCACAAAATACATCACCTTCAGTCGGGGTCGTTTCCTCGGTATATACAAATTACAATAAAGATACTTAAGACATTACGCATAAGGTAAAACAAATCATGTGACAATATAATGATAATAACGATAATAAATCCTGGCTTAACAGTTGAACAGAACGATCATATAGTCAGTCGGATCACGCACTTCATTGCAAAATGGCCGTATGGTTGAAACTGAGTCATGGCATGACGGGTGAGGAAGACATCATTAACCCTTTTCCGGTCAGGGGAGTTTCAGGCTATCAGGTTAAGTCGGTGAAAAATGGTCATGATTTAATGCACTCCAGTAGCCAGCATCTGTGCATGCTATCCTGCCAGACATTTTTGCAAAAATAGGCCATAGTTAACAGACTGTATCAACCTCAGTTTTCACATTTTTTGCAATCTGTTCGCATACACACTTCATTACCACCATGGACAACAATTTCTCATATAAAAAAAATCACCGTTTTATTTCAATACACATTTTTTACTGTCGTTAAGTAACGATGTTTTGCCCTTTGTACAGTCTCAATAAACACGTGTTAAACATTGAAATACATATTGCTTAATTGAAAACACATTACAAGCAAGTACAAAAAAAATGCGTGAGTATGGGGATATTTGGGACATGTACGAGGGAAAACGTGTTTGACGTACTCGACCTAACAGCGTACATTTCAAATTGCAACGTATATTCAACGTCTTGAACTACATGTGTAACATATTACAACGTACTTTTCGTGACTTAACTGATGTTATATTCAAGCTCTAACATATATTAACCGACTTGACCGTACGAGTATGCCCTCACTTACAACGTATATTTAACGACTCAAACTGAGACTAAAATGAACGAGAATGTAACTGCAACAACTTGATCGGGGTTACCTTCACACACATATATTCACCGACATGACCTGATTAACAAACTAAATATTTCAACGTATATTTAAT